ATGTGTATAAGAGACAGGCCTCCCGCACTGCGCCGGTCCTGGGGGCTGCGGCGCGACCAGCCTCTGCCTTTTCGGGCATCTTGGATCACTGTTGTTTGGGGGGGGAGGGTTAAATCAACTTTTGCGCCAGGGAAACGCTCCCAGTCGCGTTCTCCCTTTCATGAGAGAAAAGTTGCCGTCTCCTCTCGTACACTAGTCTCCGGATGCGTGTGGCTGAAGGGATTTAAAGGGACCTGCCAGACCCGGTGTTTACACGGCTGTGCCTTGGCGTAGGGAGCAGGACTGGATCCTGCCTGGCCCGGGGCTCCCCCAGAAGCTCTTTCGCGCCAGGAAAGAGCCTCGTCCCCGTCAGTCTGCTAGCGGGCACTTCTTTGGACCCAGATTCTTCAATAATCGTTACAACTGCAAAAAAAAGTTTGGAGCTGCGCCCCGGCGCTGTGTTTCTGTGGGCAGCTGGCGCAGGATGCTGCCCCTCAGCCTGCTGCTGTAAGCTTAAAGCACATGTGTGCTGGCTGGGCTGAGGGCAGGGCCCCTGCCACCTTCCCCTCCTGGGTGGGGAGAAGACCCAGAGTCCTGGATTGAGCCAACAACTTCAACAGCATCTCGTCAGTGGTGGAGGCTGAGTGACATACATGAGCACAACCTAACTGCAATGCTCTCTTAATTTTAAATTTTCATACGGTGCTGGTGGAAGGTGGTAGGGTGGAAGCCATGGAGAGACATCTGTTTAACCCCTTTTATAAGGCAGGCTAGGAGGGTGACGGTTTTTCAGCAAACTCCTTTAATACCATGTGCTTGTTTCCAAAGGTGAGACTGTTTTATGTCAGTACTGTACAGGGTGTGTGCTGTGGAAACCCCCTTCACCCCAATCTGTACATAGCCAGGTTCACTGTGTAGTTCACAGCTTTTTGGTGTTTGTTTTCTGTGGGTTTTTGTTTGTTTTTTTTTTAATAAAAAGATTGCAAGAACTGCATCGTAGGGCAGACAGTGAACTGGAGACCTTCCTGTTGACACCAGTGGACACTGAACTCCTTGGCCACCCAGGTAAATTCCAGGTTTCTTGGGATCTGTGATCCATGGTAGAGAATCTGCAAGTAACAAGTCGTGGGATTTTCAAACACACCCACAGGCATGCAGCATCCAGCTCCCTCTGAAAGTAGGTAGAATTGAGTGCCAGAGCCTCTGGGAAAAATTCCTCCTCTCTTCTCTTCCAGCCGGGAGATCCTCAAAGAGAAGCTAATTGCCTATGTTTGCAGTCTTTCCTTTAAAAACATCCTTCTTAGTAGATGATGATGTTAAAAGAGCTGATAAATTCACACAGATTAAAAACATTAAAAAACATTAAAACTGTGACGATGAATTGTCTTACTCATGCTAAACCAGCTCTTTCTGTGTTACCAAACACTGCTTTGCATTGATTATTAACACCTGATGCTTTGTACCTCTTTCATAACTAGGTGAACAACAGGCACAGTCCTTGACAACCAGTTTCTTCAGACTTGTACCCCATGTAACACTTGCTTTAACAGAAAGAAGCAGCTAGTGAGCTGGAGCTTGAAAACTGAGTGGTTAAGCAGAATACATGGGCGGGACTCCATTTCATGACTCAAGCCTTTACATTTCTGTAGAATGTGCTCAGTCCAAAGTCCAAGTGAAATGACCAGTAATATTACTTAAGGCCATGGAAACTTAACCTTTTTAATTAAGTCACTTCAGTTATTCTGTCAAATAATTACTACTACTTCAGTTCAAGTCCCCATCAGGTGTGTTACCCTGTTTAAAAGAAAAACAAATCCCTACCAAACCAAAACTGTTCAGTGTCTTATGATCTCTGGTGTCTGTGATGCTTTTTCAGTAGCAGGTGGTTGCAAACAGCATCATAACAGCGGCAGTGACTGTACTCAGATAAGCATCACAGACTGAACTCCAGCACTTGCTTGAGAAGATCCCAGGTTTTCCTTAGAGGGCTCCTCATTAGGCTGAGCGTGGTGTTAGTTATGCAACAAGAGTTTCGGGGG